GGGTGAACGTGGTAGAACATGGGTTAACTAGGGTAGATGAGGGTGAACGTGGTAGAACATGGCTAAACAAGGGTAGATGGGGGTAAACGTGGTAGAACATGGGTTAACTAGGGTAGATGAGGGTGAACGTGGTAGAACATGGCTAAACAAGGGTAGATGGGGGTAAACGTGGTAGAACATGGGTTAACTAGGGTAGATGAGGGTGAACGTGGTAGAACATGGCTAAACAAGGGTAGATGGGGGTAAACGTGGTAGAACATGGGTTAACTAGGGTAGATGAGGGTGAACGTGGTAGAACATTGGTAAACAAGGGTAGATGGGGGTAAACGTGATAGAACATGGGTTAACTAGGGTAGATGAGGGTGAACGTGGTAGAACATGGCTAAACAAGGGTAGATCGGGGTAAACGCGGTAGAACATGGGTTAACCAGGGTAGATGAGCGTGAACGTGTCAGAACATGGTTAATCAAGGATATATGTGGGTGAACGTAGTAGAACATTGGTAAATTAGGGTAGATGTGGGTTAATGAGGGAGAACAAAGGTAACTGATAGAAGAAGGTTATATAGGACATATCGTGCTACATACATGAAGGTAATAATACTTAGTATTAAGATGCATTAGTTATTGGGACATGATATGGACCTAACATGAACGCTTTACCCCGAGTACACATTAGGGATAGCATTCATTGACCTAGCCGCTGACCAACTGATGTAACGATTTGTATTTGATGTGAGCGATTTGAATTTGATGTGAGCGATTTGAATTTGATGTGAGCGATTTGAATTTGATGTGAGCGATTTGTATTTGATGTGAGTGATTTTGATTTGATGTGAGTGATTTCAATTTAATGTGAGTAACTTTATTTTGATGTGAGTGATCTTACTTTGTGACTTTAATTTGATGTGACAGTTGTAGGCCACCGTACGACGAAGCTTTGCTCGAGTTGAAAGGTTTCAGTCTTAGCACACAATGTAAGAGAAATCGATCAGATTGTCCGCGGAAATCTTACCGGAAATCATACTGAATACTTTCGCAGCTATACATACCTACATACATACATACATACATACTTTATTGACTTTCCCCAAAAGAGGCTTTTCAAAGACGATATACAGGAGTTACTAATCACAAATAAGAATAACAAAAAAAGAAACTAACAGGTTTAGTTTATATATTAACAAAACTTTACCGCGCTTTATCATTGAAATTCTGATGGTACCCAAGTTACATTTTGAGAAAACCAGTGATTTTTTTCCTTTTATAGTGTACGTTTTTGACCACTCACAGAATTCCTCGTAGTACCCGATTTGAAACTTTAACTCAACTACAGCGTCTTCAGCAGATGACTGCTAGAAAACGTCATAACACATTAGTCTCGTTTGATTTACGATAAATTTTCCTCATTTCTTCGTTTTCTACCTGCAAGCGCTCATTTTCCTGGCGAAGTCTATTCAACTGATTCGGCGAGCAATATATAGTCGCTCGGTTTAGAGTCCTCGTCCACGTCCACACTGTGATCGCCGTTTAAAGCCCCTGAAAGTTCTTCCGTCATGATTACGAGAGAACGTGTTTAAAGTATGCGAGGTTCGCATAAAACATAATGGCTGCCGGCGTTAATATGTCGCTTTAAACGTTAGATCAAATGTAACGTAGATGAGAACGATCCTTCGCAGTAAAGCACTATTTGAGCAATAGTGAAAATCAGACCTGAAAAAAATTTCAGGCCTGTACGGGATTCGAACCACTGACCTCTGCGATACTAGTGCAGCGCTCTACCAATTGAGCTAACAAGCCAACTGGGAGCAGGCCATCAAATTAATTCGACATAAACCCGTAGATGATAAATCTACGGGTTTATGTCGTACAGGCCTGAAATACAGGCCTGAAATTTTTACAGGCCTGAAATTTTTTTCAGGTCTGAGTTTCACTATTGCTCAAATAGTGCTTTACTGCGAAGGATCGTGCACATATACGTTTCATAACCGCAGTTCATACATATGTTTCATATGTTTGTTGTTGTTTGATTTATCATCTACGGGTTTATGTCGAATTAATTTGATGGCCTGCTCCCAGTTGGCTTGTTAGCTCAATTGGTAGAGCGCTGCACTAGTATCGCAGAGGTCAGTGGTTCGAATCCCGTACAGGCCTGAAATTTTTTTCAGGTCTGATTTTCACTATTGCTCAAATAGTGCTTTACTGCGAAGGATCGTGCACATATACGTTTCATAACCGCAGTTCATACATATGTTTCATATGTTTGTTGTTGTTTGATTTATCATCTACGGGTTTATGTCGAATTAATTTGATGGCCTGCTCCCAGTTGGCTTGTTAGCTCAATTGGTAGAGCGCTGCACTAGTATCGCAGAGGTCAGTGGTTCGAATCCCGTACAGGCCTGAAATTTTTTTCAGGTCTGATTTTCACTATTGCTCAAATAGTGCTTTACTGCGAAGGATCGTGCACATATACGTTTCATAACCGCAGTTCATACATATGTTTCATATGTTTGTTGTTGTTTGATTTATCATCTACGGGTTTATGTCGAATTAATTTGATGGCCTGCTCCCAGTTGGCTTGTTAGCTCAATTGGTAGAGCGCTGCACTAGTATCGCAGAGGTCAGTGGTTCGAATCCCGTACAGGCCTGAAATTTTTTTCAGGTCTGATTTTCACTATTGCTCAAATAGTGCTTTACTGCGAAGGATCGTGCACATATACGTTTCATAACCGCAGTTCATACATATGTTTCATATGTTTGTTGTTGTTTGATTTATCATCTACGGGTTTATGTCGAATTAATTTGATGGCCTGCTCCCAGTTGGCTTGTTAGCTCAATTGGTAGAGCGCTGCACTAGTATCGCAGAGGTCAGTGGTTCGAATCCCGTACAGGCCTGAAATTTTTTTCAGGTCTGATTTTCACTATTGCTCAAATAGTGCTTTACTGCGAAGGATCGTGCACATATACGTTTCATAACCGCAGTTCATACATATGTTTCATATGTTTGTTGTTGTTTGATTTATCATCTACGGGTTTATGTCGAATTAATTTGATGGCCTGCTCCCAGTTGGCTTGTTAGCTCAATTGGTAGAGCGCTGCACTAGTATCGCAGAGGTCAGTGGTTCGAATCCCGTACAGGCCTGAAATTTTTTTCAGGTCTGATTTTCACTATTGCTCAAATAGTGCTTTACTGCGAAGGATCGTGCACATATACGTTTCATAACCGCAGTTCATACATATGTTTCATATGTTTGTTGTTGTTTGATTTATCATCTACGGGTTTATGTCGAATTAATTTGATGGCCTGCTCCCAGTTGGCTTGTTAGCTCAATTGGTAGAGCGCTGCACTAGTATCGCAGAGGTCAGTGGTTCGAATCCCGTACAGGCCTGAAATTTTTTTCAGGTCTGATTTTCACTATTGCTCAAATAGTGCTTTACTGCGAAGGATCGTGCACATATACGTTTCATAACCGCAGTTCATACATATGTTTCATATGTTTGTTGTTGTTTGATTTATCATCTACGGGTTTATGTCGAATTAATTTGATGGCCTGCTCCCAGTTGGCTTGTTAGCTCAATTGGTAGAGCGCTGCACTAGTATCGCAGAGGTCAGTGGTTCGAATCCCGTACAGGCCTGAAATTTTTTTCAGGTCTGATTTTCACTATTGCTCAAATAGTGCTTTACTGCGAAGGATCGTGCACATATACGTTTCATAACCGCAGTTCATACATATGTTTCATATGTTTGTTGTTGTTTGATTTATCATCTACGGGTTTATGTCGAATTAATTTGATGGCCTGCTCCCAGTTGGCTTGTTAGCTCAATTGGTAGAGCGCTGCACTAGTATCGCAGAGGTCAGTGGTTCGAATCCCGTACAGGCCTGAAATTTTTTTCAGGTCTGATTTTCACTATTGCTCAAATAGTGCTTTACTGCGAAGGATCGTGCACATATACGTTTCATAACCGCAGTTCATACATATGTTTCATATGTTTGTTGTTGTTTGATTTATCATCTACGGGTTTATGTCGAATTAATTTGATGGCCTGCTCCCAGTTGGCTTGTTAGCTCAATTGGTAGAGCGCTGCACTAGTATCGCAGAGGTCAGTGGTTCGAATCCCGTACAGGCCTGAAATTTTTTTCAGGTCTGATTTTCACTATTGCTCAAATAGTGCTTTACTGCGAAGGATCGTGCACATATACGTTTCATAACCGCAGTTNATAAAGTCGCAAAGACATTAGATTACCAGCCCCTCGCGCTGGCTAGTGCAGGTGTTTACATTAAAAAGATTCGTGAAAGTCGAGTTAACAGAAACTTTGGATGGAAGGAATACTTAGAAAAGCTAGAAAGAGGTATGAGAGCCCTTACTGAAAAGGAACTGACAACAACCAACCCAAGTTACAGGAAGTCCATGACTGTGGCAACAAAGCTGGCCATTGAAAGAGCGATAAACAACGACACTGTTGTAAAAAGTGCATTTACACTCCTTTCTCTATGTTCTCAAAAGCCCTTGCATTTAGACATCGTTATTAGTTACATTTTGAATGAGAATGCGCAATTGGATAAAGAAGAAATTGCTCTTCAGATCCAAGGCTACTCACTTCTTATGTTCGAAGAAAGAGAAAATGGGATTTTTGTTAGTACGCATCAAGTTGTGCACGAGGCAAACAAATCTGTAATCAAAGAAAGTCGGGAGCTTGATGAACTTGTTCAAGTTATTGCACTAGTGATGTCATTCAAACAATTCGTAGACGCTCATTTGCCACAGACCTGGCGCGACCGAAACTTTAATCGTGACAGTGAGCATTTTGTTCCACACTTGATTACGTTTGCTGCAGAAGTTGAAAATGCCTTCCTTCACAGAGATGATTGTCAAGTTATCAAGGAAGATGTTTTCAACTATTTCAAAGTAATAGAAGATTTCAGAAGGCTTGCAATAATTGGCTGGAATCACCGTGAATATTCAGCCGCAAAAGTCTACTGTGAAGCAGCTTTGAAACTGGCTGAAAAGGATCAGTTGAAAGAGAATTGCGAACGTGCTTTAGACACTAACCTAAAAGAATCAGGACCCAAAAATGATGCCCTTGTGGCTTCTTACAATATGATAGGTATTCTCCAGCGTGAATTGGGTGACCTTCAAAATTCCAAGGAGAACCATGAACGTGCTCTAGACATTCAGCTAAAACATCTTGGACCCGAGCATGTCGCTATGGCAAATTCATACCACCATTTGGGTAATGTGCAGCTTTTGTTGGAGAACATAGAAGAGGCCAAGGAGCTCTACGAACGTGCTTTAGACATCCAATCGAAGAATCTTGAGCCTGATCATATTGATCTTGCGTTTTCTTACACCGGCTTGGGTGGTGTACACTGTGAATTGGGCGACCTGGAACAGGCCAAGGAGTATTTTGAACGTGCCTTAAACATTGAACTGAAAAAGCTTGGGCCCGGGCATGTTGATGTCGCCCGTAGTTACGTTAACTTGGGATATGTTGAACGTGAATTGTGTAAGCTTCAGAAGGCTAAGGAGCATTTGGACTGTGCTCTGAACATTCAGTTGAAGAAGTTTGGTCCCGAGCACCTTGATGTCGCGAATACTTACCATCACTTAGGTGTGATAGAGAGTAAATTATGTAATCTGGAACAGGCGAAGGAATATCACGAAAAAGCATTGCATATACGGCGGAAAAATCTCGGACCAGAACATGTTGATGTCGCGCTTAATTACTTTCAGTTGGCAAATGTTGAACGTAAATTGTGCAACTTTCAGAAGGCTAAGGAGCATTTGGACTGTGCTCTGAACATTCAGTTGAAGAAGCTTGGTCCCGAGCACCTTGATGTCGCGGATACTTACGATGTCTTAGGTATTGCAGAGAGTAAATTGGGTAATCTAAAACAGGCCAAGGAATATCACGAAAAAGGGTTGGATATAAGACGAAAAAATCTTGCACCCGAGCATGTTGATATGGCAAGTTCATACCACCATTTGGGTAATGTGCAGCTTTTGTTGGAGAACATAGAAGAGGCCAAGGAGCTCTACGAACGTGCTTTAGACATCCAATCGAAGAGTCTTGAGCCTGATCATATTTATCTTGCGTTTTCTTACACCGGCTTGGGTGATGTACACCGTAAATTGGGCGACTTGGAACAGGCCAAGGAGTATTTTGAACGTGCCTTAAACATTGAACTGAAAAAGCTTGGGCCCGAGCATGTTGATGTCGCCCGTAGTTACGTTGAGTTGGGAGATGTTGAACGTGAATTGTGTAAGCTTCAGAAGGCTAAGGAGCATTTGGACTGTGCTCTGAACATTCAGTTGAAGAAGCTTGGTCCCGAGCACCTTGATGTCGAGTCTATTTACCATGACTTAGGTGTGATAGAGAGTAAGTTATGTAATCTGGAACAGGCGAAGGAATATCACGAAAAAGCATTGCATATACGGCGGAAAAGTCTCTGACCAGAACATGTTGATGTCGCGCTTAGTTACTTTCAGTCAGGAAATGTTGAACGTGGATTGTGTAACCTTTAGAAGGCTAAGGAGCATTTGGACTGTGCTCTGAACATTGAGTTGAAGAAGCTTGGTCCCGAGCACCTTGATGTCGCGAATACTTACCATGCCTTAGGTATTGCAGAGAGTAAATTGGGTAATCTAAAACAGGTCAAGGAATATCACGAAAGAGGGTTGGTTATACGACGGAAAAATCTTGCACCCGAGCATGTTGATATGGCAAATTCATACCACCATTTGGGTAATGTGCAACTTTCGTTGGATAACATAGAAGAGGCTAAGGAGCTCTACGAAAGTGCTTTAGAGATCCAGTCGAAGAATCTTGAGCCTGATCATATTTATCTTGCCTTTTCTTACACCAGCTTGGGTGTTGTACCCCATAAATTGGGCGACTTGGAACAGGCCAAGGAGTATTTTGGACTTACCTTAAACATTGAACTGAAAAAGCTTGGGCCCGAGCATGTTGATGTCGCCTGTAGTTACGTTGAGTTGGGAGATGTTGAACGTGAATTGTGTAACCTTCAGAAGGCTAAGGAGCATTTGGACTGTGCTCTGAACATTCAGTTGAAGAAGCTTGGTCCCGAACACCTTGATGTCGCGGATACTTACCATGGCTTAGGTAGTGCAGAGAGTAGATTGCGTAATCTAAAACAGGCCAAGGAACATCACGAGAAAGGGCTGGATATACGGCGGAAAAGTCTCGGACCAGAGCATGTTGATGTCGCGCTTAATTACTTTCAGTTGGGAAATGTTGAACGTGAATTGTGTAACCTTGAGAAGGCTAAGGAGCATTTGGACTGTGCTGTGAACATTCAGTTGAAGAAGCTTGGTCCCGAGCACCTTGATGTCGCGTATACTTGCCCTGTCTTAGGTAATGGAGAGAGTAAATTGGGTAATCTAAAACAGGCCAAGGAATATCACTAAAAAGGGTTGGATATACAACGGAAAAATCTCGGACCAGAACATGTTGATGTCGCCCTTAGTTGCTTTCAGTTGGGAAATGTTGAACGTGAATTATGTAACCTTCAGAAGGCTAAGGAGCATTTCGACTGTGCTCTGAACATTCAGTTGAAGAAGCTTGGTCCCGAGCACCTTGATGTCGCGCATACTTACCATGTCTTAGGTAATGGAGAGAGTAAATTGGGTAATCTAAAACAGGCCAAGGAATATCACGAAAAAGGGTTGGATATACGACGGAAAAATCTTGCACCCAAGCATGTTGATATGGGAAATTCATACCACAATTTGGGTAATGTGCAACTTTTGTTGGATAACATAGAAGAGGCCAAGGAGCTATACGAACGTGCTTTAGACATCCAATTGAAGAATCTTGAACCTGATCATATTTATCTTGCGTTTTCTTACAACGGCTTGGGTGATGTACACCGTAAATTGGGCGACTTGGAACAGGCCAAGGATTATTTTGAACGTGCCTTAAACATTCGACTGAAAAAGCTTGGGCCGGAGCATGTTGATGTAAGGCATGGTCAGAATGAGTTGAGTAACGTACAGCTTGCCTTGGATGACGTGCAACACGGCACCGAATGTCAGGAACCTACTGTTGAGAAGGATCACTGTGCCTTTCTGGATGACAATCCTACTGTCTAGACTTCGTAAGAAATTTAAAAATAAATTCTCCAGAGAACTTTTTAAGCTTTTCAAATGATAAGTCGGAGTTTCGTGCAGCTTTGCAAAAAATGCATTTGTACCTTTGCGTCTCTCTAAACATTTTTCAGGACATAACCATATATGAAACGAATAGCCTTGGCGAAACATCGTAATGCAGGAAACTTGCGTGTAAATAACAGCCTTTTTTAACAGAGGTTCCTCCAAGAAATGACGAGACGTGTAAATAATTGATCTGATGTACTCTTCGATAGAATAAACATGATTATTACAAGCATCTGTTGCGGTTATGACTGACTTTAATGCTAGGAACAGTTATTTTCTGTGAGGGGGTGGTTAGAGAAAAAACAAAAAAGCTATTGCCTGTAGGATTCCACGTGCAAATTTTTGTGTTAGCTTATCATTTATGCATGCTTTTTAGAGCTATTTAAACGCTACGGCTTGTTGGCGCGCGAATTTTTCAACGTATTCTCTAGCCCGAAGCTTTCGTTGCCGATCTTAGACTCCTAACTTAAGCTTCAGCGCCATTGCTACAGTCAGGAAAAAATTTGTTAGTCTTTAAATTCTGTTTTGGATGTTCATCATCGCTCGGCCCTTCTGTAATGTGTTAGGTCGCTAAGTATGCTGGGATGGAAAAACCACGTCTTTTTGATAGCGGCGGCCATGTTACGTTGACAATAAAACTAGTTGAGTTAAATCTGATACTTTATTGCTGTTGGGACCATCACATTGGCGACGAGGACAAAAAAGAATGGAACAGAACACACTACCGAAGCTCCATTGTTTCTCTGATCCGGCGACGACTGGCCCTCGATGGAAAAGGTGGTTAACTTCATTTGAACTGTTTGCGGACTGGAAAGGGCTTATTATAAGCGAAGGAACCACAGCAGCAACCAAACAGAGGCGAAGAGCAATGGTACTCCACCTGGCTGGGCCTGATATACAAGAAATATTTACCACCTTAACTGGAACCGGAGATGCTACAAATGACGCCAGCGCTGTCGCAGCTCTCAACGCCTATTTCGTGCCACAGGTAAATTCAGCATTCGCCCGCCAGACTTTTCATCGGATCACGCATAACCGAGGTGAGACAGTTCAACAGTTTGTCACTCGCTTAAAAAATCCAGCTCAAGATTGTGATTTTGGCACTGACACCAACAACCAGAGAAGAGATGCAGTTTTGAATAAATGCACTTCCACTTACATCACACGAAAATTACTTAAAGAAGGCCAAGGACTGAACTTAACGCGCACCCTAGAGGTTCCCGCACAATGCGAAAAGATAGAAACCCAACTGGCTGCCCTTTCAGTAAAGGGGGACGAATCAGAAACTATCAGTAAAATCAATGAGAGAAGTAAAAATCCGAGTACTAGCACACAAGGGCGATTCCAAGGGAGAGATAAGATATGTTATAGATGTGGTTTATTGGAACATTTCGGTCGTGATCCCCAATGCCCAGCAAGGGGCAAAACATGTAGGAAGTGTCGCGGGAAAGATCCCTTTGAAAAGGTTTGCAAGACAAAGTCATATGCTCGTCGGGTGGGGAGGGAACCTGATGACAATGACCATAGGCCTCAGTATGACTACGCACTCAGTATTACAGAAGGAGAATACTCAGAAATGCTCACCGTACAAGTAGGAGGAGTAGGCCTTAAGATGTTAATAGGCTCTGGGGCAAACAGTAACATTATTGACGAGAGGGCATGGGAACAGCTGAAGGTGAAGGGAGTGAAGTGTGATTCACAAGCCGCCATCCCAGACAAGAAACTGTATCCATATGCGTCCAGTCAGCCAATACCAGTTAAGGGTAGTTTTTAGTGCACAAAGAATGTTTGTGATAGATCCACCAAAGCTGAAGTCTTGGTAATCAAAGGTAGAGGGTTGTCACTGCTTGGAAAGATAACGGCCATGGGTGAGGACTTAACCTTAGAGTTGTTACTTTCGACGGCAGCAAATCACGAGCGAGATCGGTCACAGCTGGAAAATATGGAAGGCAAAAAGGACGTGAATTTCGTCCGTGACAAGCAAGAAGACAAAGGAAAGGAGTCTGCCAAGCGAGCATGCTACAGATGTGAAAAAGTAGGACATTTTGGAAGAGATCCTGAGTGTCCCGCGAGAGGAAAAACTTGCCATAAGTGCGGAGGACCTGACCATTTTAGTCCACAGTGTAAAACGAAAACAGCCAAACCTAGACGGGAAGAGAAGACAAAAGGAAGGAAAACAAAGAAGTCAGTCAGGTATGTGAGAAGTGAGAGAGATAAAGATGAATATGCATTCACTGTAAATTCTGCTCCATTACCTGAGGAAGTAGGTGTGACTGTGGGTGGAGTTTTGGTTGCCATGTTGATTGATTCGGGTGCAAGCACCAATGTGATTGACAAAAATCTGTGGTTAAAGTTAAAGCAAGACAAGATTAAGTGTGTGTCGAGAAAGAGTGATAAGAAGCGTTATGCATATGGCAGTAAACAGCCGCTGAACGTTCTAGGAACTTGGTGAGACCACTCGCCACATTTGTACACGAGTTCGTGAGCACCTCTTGTCGGACAAAACTTCGCATATTTACAAGCACCTGCAATCATCAAGGGCCTGTCTTGACTCTTGTGATACTGAATGTTTCACGATCTTAGATTCTGCCGCTTCAAAATACCAAATTAAGATCAAAGAGGCATTGCATATTAAGTGGGAAAAACCTATCCTTAATCAGCAATTGAAACATCTAGAATTGTCTCTTTCCTTTTAATTATGTTGTTCCTTGGTCTTTTAATTTATTTTTATTATTATTACATTTATTTTTTTTATTTATCTATTTATTTTTTGATCTAGTCAAGCGAGCGCTATTTACATCTTTCGCGTTTTTAACATTCAAATGTAACGTAAGCCCTGACACGTAGTTTGTAACGTACCTTAATTTAAATTCAAATGTACAACAGTTAAATGCTTATTTGCAACTGAAGATGACATGAGAATGTCGAAACATGTCTTGTAAATTTAAACTCAAAGTTGTTGTTTCTCTTTTGAGAGTTATTGTCACTCTGCTGTCTTTACGTCTTTTTATATAAATCGCTTTAAAAATTCGTAGTTTAAGTAGTCCAAACGTTCTATTGCAGTTTCTAAAAGAAGAGCCTTGTTCTTGACAATAGTTATTGTCACAGTTTATGGAACCATGTAACAATGGCCAATTTTAGTCGCCAAAGCTGAGCTATGTTTCTATGGGTGAAATTTTACCTGAATTTTAGAATTGTTATTATTCTGTTATTGTGTAATTGTTATTCCGAATTGCTGGCGGAATAAATTTTTTTCGGCCATTATCTTGAGGTGTACTATTTTACCAGGAAATCATGGTTATAAACCCCCAAAACATAAAATGCCACTGTTCTCCCAAAATAATTTTTTTTCGGCATTTTTTATATTTTCCCGTAACTAAGGCCATTCATACCTATATTCTGGCAACATTTGAAAAAATTTCAATTTTTTTATTTTCAACACCTCTGCTAGATTTTTACAAACGACCACTCTTTCTGAAAAGAAAAATAAGCGCCCTGTTCCTAATGAGCGCCGTGTTTGGAATTAGCAACTTTCCTTGTGGTATCAAAAGTAAATAAGGGTCTAGGCACTAAATCGAATAATTACGGTAACTTGGATATAGCTTAGAATTTTTAAACGGAAACTAATCACGTTCCCCTATCTTTTTTTTTTCTCGAATAAATCGTAGTGTCGTCGAAAGAAAAAGGGACTTATTTAGTTTCCCCTTCTTTATAATTTATTGGCGACGGCTGACCACCCCCCGTTCCTCTAAAACCCATGTTATGATCCTCGCTAGGTCATTTCCGGCCTGCGTTTATCATGTTCGATGTACACATGCCACCGCATAGGAAAACAAGAGTTCTTCATTCGTAGTCGTCATTCTACTTGTTAATTTACATTAAGCATACATGTTCTTATGATGTATGCGTGGACTTCTCGCCCACGAACCTCGGGAAAGTAAGCGTTCTCAAAGTCCTTCGTGTTTTTAAGGGGATCCCAAAGCTTTGTGCGTTCTCCCATCTCGTGCCTTCCTTTTGAACACGTGCATACATCATCATAAGAAAGACGTGTATTCATTTCAAAGCACATTCAGCGCTCTCAAGCAAAAAACACCACCTAAAAACCCTTGAATTGAAGAACCTCCGCGCCACAGCGACAGAAAAATTTAGAACTTATAAACCTCCAAGGGAGGAATAATGAAAACACGGACCAAAAACTCGAGATTTCGTGACTACACTTGGAAACCTTTAAATCACGAGACCTACAAAATAAACTAAAGAAACAATTCGTTGTTATTCTTGGCGGAAGAAGACACGACATTTGGCTTTGCAGCTGTTTGTTCTGATCACCCCCAATAATTTAATTAAGAATTGTGTCTCCTTTTGGCTTCACAGAACATACATATATTAACATTTACAACATAAAAAACGTTTACCTTCCATCCTAGGTCTCTTGTTATGTGGAAGCCCGCTCGTCAAGTCACCCGATTTTCGTTTCATCATTTGAAATTTACTTGAACCTAGTATTAATAGCAAACATGTACATTTGTAGCTTGAATTTATCTCAACATGGTATTTATAACTTGGTAACATTAAGAAAGAAAACATCACTTTTTTTGGGAGAGGTTTATCTTTCATCTTTGGCAGACCATCACATTAGTTTACAAGTAAAGTATACGTCGGTCATTGAAGATCAATTGCCAATTGTTTGTTTTGTTCTGATGATAGCGGGAAATGTTTATGCCAATTTTGAAAATAGGGACATTTGGGTGACGATACCACACATCAATGGTTTGGCCCATGAACCATGTGAGATCCAATGACCAAAATTCAAATATATCAGGTAACCATACGCATATAGTGTCTCTAACACACCATCTCAAAACAGAAAAAAAAGTACGTAGCCTTGTAGTAGTGTTTGAATATTACCACAAGATCAGTATCCGTTTCCCTTGTCAGTAAAGAACATGAAAATTAGAAAAATTGGCAACAAACTCAAAGACGCTCCTCCACCAACGTTATCTTAGGGCGCTAAAGAGAATTTCAGGGGGCCATTCAATGTAATCTAGGTTATTGTGCTTCCTTCTTCTCCTTTCTCCTAGAGTTAAGGTGCATGGAGGTGGGCTGTGACCAAGGAGACCCCTTGTCACTTACTTATTCAAAACCTGTTGCAATTTTGCATTTCTGGACTTTGCGTTAGGTCTCAATGAATGTTACTATGTGAGAGAAACTATAAAATATGTGAGGAAGGATTGGACACCATCTACAATCCAGAACCATCTGTAGACATATTCTTATTAAAAAGGAAAGAGGTAAGATCGTGAATGAAAATTGTTGCAAAACTAAATCATAGCTTATCTAAGATTTAAAGTCGAAACACAATCTATTCGGGAAGAATCACATAGAGTAAATTACTCAATATTGTCCTATAACTCACTGCGGACCTGTCACCTCTCCCGAGACCTCTCGTTACTACCAGGAGAAAAATACTTTATGCTAAGATGGGAACATGAAGAAAACATCTTTGATTTCTCTACCATAGGTTAAACGTTAGTTCAAGACCTTCCGGCAAATGTGTCCATCGACCTTGGAAATTTTTTCAATCCCAAGTCAAGCAAAAACCGGGTGACACAAGCCAGGTATCTCGACTTTACCGCGAATGAGATTAAAAGCTTTGAACTAAATGTCAACGAGGCTACTCAAACCCTGCTTTATCAGTGGGGACAAAAAGATGGTTCCACCAAGGATTTCGTTTTCAATGTGTTGAAGAAAATGAAGAGGGATGACTGTGTGCAAGTTCTTAAGCCGTGAGATAGATAAATGAAACAAAAAGAACTGAGATGCCGTGCGAAGGGAACAGGCGTTTTTCACGGGAGGTCAGAAGTATGGAGTTAAACGAGAAGAAAAACTTCAGTTGAATGATGTTCAGCGAGCGAAGTTTCCTGGATCGTGGATGGAAAGTTGTTAAATTGTTTATTTTGTTCGTGTTGTAATTAAGGTAGCGAGGGTTTTAGTTATTTTTTCGAGACGTCGGCAAAGTGTCTTTTGGCCGATTTACACGGTACAACTTCGTCGTGTGCGACAAGCTTAAGACAGGCTTACGACTAACCCGAATTGTAAATCAAATCTGCAACCCGCTTACGACCGTCTGATACGTCGAAAAAATTTCGTAGAATTTTGAAGGTTGTTTTAAAACGCTGCCACAATCGCAGCCAAAATAAATGAAAATTACGTATTTTGTGTCCACTTAGCAGGGGGAGTCGTGCGCATGTCGGTGGTCCCGAGACGTGTGTAAGGCCTGTTGCAAGCTTGTCGCGTGCGTCATATTCTTAAGAAGGGAAAAAAAGCACCAGTTGCAACCGCTGTCGCATTTGGGGCTGTATATTAACCCTTTCACTCCCGATATCTTATTGGTTATTCTAATTACTGTCCGCCATACAATTCCCATGGTGATAGTTAGAAGAATTTGTTATTGGATCAACTAATAATCCCCTAATTGATATTTTTCTTTATTCTCATCACTTGTCTGCTTGACGATGTAAGTTTGTATTTTCCAAAGAGAATTTCGCCTTGATCCCTAATGGGAGTTTAAGGGTTAATCACGGCGGCTGGTTCGTCATCACATCAGTAACGTGCTTATTCTTGAGGTAATGTCTAATGTAAACACTGTATGACAGAGGCGATTTTCCAGCGCGCGTCGAAAATAACAAAGTTCTACTTCTCAGAAGTCGCGACATTTCGAACATTTTAGAACGAAATATACTGCGTTGAAGCTAATTCTACGCAATAAAGATAAAAAAAAAACTTTGGAAATTAAAGGTTAACAAGCAGTATGGTTGCTTGTTGACAAATGAAATACCTTCAGGGAGGTATTTCATTTGGAATAAAACGACAAGTTAAACAATTGTTACAAAGCAAATCAACATTTGATAATCACTTACCAGACTTCAGTCCTGAAAACTCCACTTGAGGCCAGCTAATGCGACAAATCATTGCGCACTGCAAATTACATCACATACTTGGAGACTAGTTTCGAAGAGTAACGCGAGATCAATGTAGACATGGCGGAGAAGTTTTCCGGGAAGCGTGTGCGCCAAACCAGGCTTCGCGACTGCGGTGCACACAAAGGTACGCTAAAGCAGAAACTGTATCAAGTAATGATCAACAAATGTAGTCGCCAATCAACCGCATGCATACTATTTTTGCCTGCAAAGAGTTAAAGCGTACGTACGGTCTAGAAAAAGTTTACTTACATCAAAAGTTCCTTGCTTAAATTGTCCTAACTGGCTATTCATTTGAGCTACAAACGTTTTAGTTGTGAACAATTGCGTTACAAAAATTGGAATTTTCAAATTGAAATCCGCCATCTTTGTTATGACGTAGCAATAGTCAAACATGCTAAATTAATGCTGAAGTGGATGTAAACAAGGAAAAGTGCGACGATGGGGGCGCCACCTATTGAA